ACTCCTCCACCGACAGAATCCTTCTGTAAAACTGACTCAGCCATCTTGTAGACACCAGATGACACAGGTGGACGGCATATTGGTCTTGGGGAACATTTCTCTTGTGGTACTGAGGTCTCTTTGAGTTGGCCCCTGAAGGAAAATACACATGAGCATTCCTCTAAGTAGTTTTCATTCCAAGCCTATGACTTTACCCATCAAAATGTACTAAGAGGAAATGCTAAAGATTTCCCCACTGCAATGAGACTCAATACAATATACCATCGCCATAAGCTCACCGGGGTTTGAAAAGCAAATAAATGTGTTGCTCCTACTGTATGTTGCCTCTGGGGTTTCTGACAGCTCGCATGCTGACGCTGTCCCTAAGCAGTTTCGGTAATATTGCACAGTATATTTACATTGACATGTTTACATTGACATGTTGTGCATGCAGTGGCTCTAAGAAGTATTTGGACACTTAAGCCACATTTAAATGTCACTGCATTAGATACAAAATATCAAAGCAAGCAGCATTTATTTTAAAGGAAGATACCACATCTACTGTATCAAGTAAAACATTTCACACACACACACAAAATATGTGTTATGATTTACATGATAAAATACTAAATTTAATGTTCAAAATTAACTATCCACTAATATAATAATAATAATAATAATAATAGCTCACGAAAGTGAATTTGTTTGGAGATGCCATTTAAAAATAATAAATAAATAAAGCTAACATCATTAGAACAACTATGTAACTTCTCTTTCCATATATATATTTAAAAAAAACTACTAACCTAATAAAATAAAATTAAATTAAATTAAAATTGAAAAATAAAATAAAAACATAAACAGCTAATCTCATCATCAGAGCTGTAGCTGTGTCCTCCTCTTTCTATATAAAATAAAAATATATAAATTAACAAAAATAATCAACTATTAAAATTAATATTATTTAAAAAATATTAAAATAAAAAATACAATAAATAAAATACAATAAAATAATATAGAACAAACAGCTAACCTCATCATCAGAGTTGCAGCTCTGTCCAACTTTCAAATAAAATAAAACTGAAATAAAATAATCAAATACTATTAAACTAATTAAACAAATAAAATTAAATAATCAGCTAACCTCATCATCAGGGCCACAGATGTGTCCAACTTCTCTTTTCATATAAAATAAAATAAAATAAAATAACATAAAATGCTAACCTTATCATCAGAGCTGAATCTGTGTCCAGCTTCGCTTTCCATAGAATGTAAAACTTTTTGGTCAGAGTAAGTTGCACCACTATCATCCCTTGTGTGCCCACTTTTCATCACTGCTGTGTTTGCCAAGGTCTCATTTGGCGCCCTCTGCTGGTCAACCTCATCTGGCAGCTCGAGTCCAGCAATAAGTCTGGCTTCCTCCAGCAGCTCAGAGCTGGATTTGACGCTTTGGATGTTGCTGGAGCCAGCGCTGCTGGTGTGACTGATGTGTTTAGAGAGAGTTTGATGTTTATGAGGCTCCCCAAATGTTTCACTCTTTCCTCTCTGCACTCGTCTATGCCCATTCTGTGCTGTATTCACAGAGTCTGACACCTCATTGTCATTACAACTGCCCGAATCCGGCCGGTTCTGTCCTCCAAAGAAAGTGGACTGATGAGTGCTGGAGGTTTTCTTCTCCTCACCTGAAACCTGCTGAGCAAGTGTGCGAGGTTTGTAAGATCCACCTGCTGATAAAGGCCTCTCTGATCTGTGCTTAGCAAGAGGTTGCGGCCTTTGGGACAAGGATACTGCTTTGGTGGTCCCTGCGAGAGAGGCTATGACGGGCTTTCTGACAATCCCATGCCTGGCTTTAAGTTTTGGAAGAGCCATTGTGTTCACTGATTTGTCTACGGAGGAAATGTTTGGGCTTGTGCTCTGACCCCAGCTCTTTCTGTAGGTCTTTGTTGAGACATGGATTTAGGGGGCAGTTTGCAGAGGAGAGGAAAGTGAAAGTCTATTTGAGACTCAACACAGCTGGGTTTTGTCAGGATGCGAGGGAAATCTGTGATGACAGGGCTCACCTGGCAAGGTAAGAAAGAAGTCTTCTTCTGTTCTGATTGGTTTCATAAAGGTGCTTCATATATTGGAAATCCTGGAAATGAAAAAGATGATGGACGTTTAGGAAACAAAAACAGTTAATCATATTAAATATTTTTTTAAACCAAATATGCTTAACATTGGGGAAAACACACTTTTTGCCTCATTTCTGAAAATTTTTGCTTCAGCATTTGTCTCAAGACTGGTAAAAGAGCTAGATCTGCAAAATATTTTTTAAATAATTTTTAACGTACATGTCTTAATAAAAATAATCAGCTAACATGTCTTAATTCAGTTCTATCAATTGAATTTTGTAATGATGTATGCTTTATCCTCATTTTCAATTCTGACGCGTATTAAATAATAATCATTATACATTATCTTTACACGTTTGTGCTACTTATAAAGACAAAAATTTGTAAACATTTTCAAACTGTATTTTACCGCTCAAAGCTATAACAGTTCAACGCTATACTGTTAGTTAGCCAGCTAGCTTGCTCTCTCAACAAGTTGCTTTTTATCATGCTGTGACACAACAAATCTTAAAGGGGTCCTATTATGCTTTTTCAACTTTAGTTAGTCTGTAATGTTGCTGTTTGAGCATAAAAAAAGATCTGCAAAGTTATAAAGCTCAAAGTCCACTTCAAAAGGAGATATTTTATTTAACAGAAATCACTTTTCAAAAACTACAACGAACGACTCGTTTGGACTACAACACGCTCAAATTGATTTGATATTGATGCAATATTTACACTGAAGTTTGCAGGCGGCTATGGTAAGGGGCATGACATTTCCCGAGTAGGCGCCGAGTGGTGCCAATCACAACACACACTGTCCCAGCTAACCAATCACAGCACATTTCGTATTTCAGAAGGCGGGGCTTGATTTTATACAGGAACTATTCGAGCCGTTCATGCCAGACTGGGGAGAGAGGTGTTGTAATAATGTAAAATATGTGAAAAATAATGTGTTTTTCGAACAACCTAGTATGAGAGCCTGTTCTAGTACACCCCCAAAACTAAGACTTTGTAAAAGAGCATAATAGGACCCCTTTAACAAAACATTTAAAAGTATTCTTTAAAAGTATCTTACCTTTTCATTGATGTATTCCCGCCTTGAAAATGCACTTCATATAAAATTGTACCGTCTGAAAAATAACTTCAGCTTTTTACCTCAGAAACGCCACGTAGCGTCTCCTAGCAACCGTTTGTAGCCGTGCGCGTGCCAGAGCTGCCTGCCAGTGAAAATCTGCACATGGAAATATTCAAGTAGATCATTAACCTGATGTTAATAATTGTTATTTTTTCATTTATGCATTTTTATTTACGCATGTAGCATTCTGTGTTTTGCAGACTTCAACCACTCAAATGTTCAGATTTGCCACAACAACAAAAAAGGAATCATGTGAGCTTTAGTGCAAACATTCCCTTTCACTCACACACAATCTTAAAACAGAGAGAAAAGAAAATGAATTAAATGTACATAAAAAAATAAAAGTTTCAATTAGAATGAAAATGGTTTTACATTCTAAAAAGTACTTTTTATTTTCTGTCTAAAGAAAACCATATTTGAAACCCATTGATCTGAAGAGCCTATACCTCTGAGCTATAAATAAATATTAGCCAGTTTTTATTTATTTTATAAATCATGCATTAAATCTACTGAGAAGCCAATCATGATCATGAATCATGAATCTCTCTCTCTCTCCCTCCCTCCCTCTCTCTGTCTCTCATGGGGGCTTTGACATGGTCTAATGTTCTTTGCTTCAAGGGCCATTTCATTCCGTCCTGTGAGGAATCGATCTGTGCTCTAATGGTGTGAGAGATCACTGGAGATAATCCGCTGTAAGTGGATGATCAGTGCTGTCATTCGCTCATTAGCAGGTGTACAGTGGGAAATCTGACCTATTGTTTATCTGAGCAATAAAAGGAGGGAGATGGTGGGTTTTCCAGGTCCTCCCTAAATGCAGGACTCACTTCCAAAATGAATAGCTTCCAATGTTATTACAAGTTGTTATTAATAATATTTCATCTGCTATTCTGTGAATTTTGTTCAGTTTTGGTAACACTTTTAAGAAAAATACACTGATTACATGATCTGTATTACATTATTTAAACAGGCCTAGTTCAAATTGGTAGAATTCATACATTTTCACACAATATAATATTTAAATATACATGAAACAGCATCCACATGTATTCTTTTGTTAACATTTTATAATAACTTTATTCATATCTATTATAAAGTAAAAATGTAATGTTAAAAATGTCATAATTTGGAATTAAATTGGAAAATGATTGCGACTCAGCATTAATACTTTCAAGAATATCATTAATCAATATTATTATATTAAATAATGCTTTACTGTATATAGGCCCAGTAAGAAATGTTATGACTCATATATATTTTGCATGAACATGTTAGCATTATATAATGTTTTGAAGGATTTAAAAAAGTATTATAAAGGTATTATGTATGCAAGTTAAACAAATATAAAATATTACTATATTACATTAACATACATATATTCCCCAGATCACAAACTAGTTCAAATATCCTTAAACTTGTTACTTCACCTGAAAATTAAAGGAAATGAATTGAAAATGTATAACATTCCAATGTTAAATAATTCAGTCCTTAATTAAATAATTATAAAGTCTGACTGTTATTTTGCAAAAAAATTAAAATAGTTAAATAAATGCAATATGCCAAAAAAATTTTAGATTCTTCGGATATGCAGTGTTATGAAACATAATGCGTTTATTTCAGTAGGGTTGATTTTTTTTTTTTACACCTGTGAATAGTCTGTGCAATAAAACACACGGGCATTCCTGTTTAAAAACAGCAGAGAAGACGTGTTCCTGGAAGAAGGAGAGAGATCCAGGCAAATGAGACATAGAAAGTGGGCTGTACCGTGCTCCACGTAACAGGCAGGTCTCCAGTTGAGTCCCAACATTTCCTCACTTTACTCAAACCCGCGCACACCATCCCACCAGTGACTGCGCGCGGTGCCAGGACGCACACACACACTTACACTCACTCACTCACTCACACACACACACACACACACGCTCGCTGAGTCTGCGAACTGCATGTGCACGAGCTGCGGATTTCCTCTATAATGTTGGGCGCAGTGAAAATGGAAGGACACGAAACTCCAGACTGGAGCAGCTACTATAATGATGCACAAGAGGTGAGAGACGATTATTACTGTCACGCTCAGCTGCTGGAATAGCCAGAAAGTTTGTAGCTGCATGCACGTGAATGAATGCAACAGCAGATTGAAACCGAGTGTTATGGTGCAAACCACTTTGTAAAAGACTGAAGAATTAAATATAAAATATATTCCACTGAATTGTTGTCTGTAGCTGAGAAAATATTAGCCATTGATCAACCCACTTGGTGGCAGTAGTGATGCTATTACAAGTGGGTCACAATAGTCTGATATTGGAAGAGTTTAGCAAATATAATTGTCTATCGAATTATAAACTATTTCAAATGATTAGCTGACTAAACTATTAAATTTATATACAAGATTCTATTTTGTCTCGTTTGAGTCAGTGCAAAATTGCATTATTAATTCACTTAAATTCTATAAAACGATATAAAACAAAATACGTCGCGTGCATCAGCGAATGCACATTTAATATTTCGTTATTTTAAAAAGAGCAACATAAAAACATGACTGGATACATTTAGATTAAAAATGTAAATGTTCTCACTTTTTTATATATTTTTAATGGTCTGAAATTACTGTATTGTTTTTTTTTTAATCATAACTAATTAAATCTGTTAACTCTGTTACTATTTAAATAACGAATTATTTTTTTAAATGGGGAAATTACATTATTGTCTCAGAGAAAAGATGCAAAATGGCATTCAAAGTGCTGAATACAAATATACTACAGTACTAAAAGCCACGATTTATTTATTTCAGGTCTATTCTCCCATGACGAACACCAGCATGAACGCTGGGCTGAGCTCCATGAATAATATGAACAGTTACATGGGCATGTCCACAAGTGGAAATATGACTTCCAGTTCTTTTAACATGTCCTACGCGAACCCAGCGCTGAGTGCGGGACTGAGCCCGGGCACCATGGCCGGGATGCCTCCGGGTGCCACCGGCGCCATGAACGGGATGAGCGGCTGCGTGTCGACCATGGGCACCGCGCTCAGCCCGTCCAACCTGAACGCCATGACGGCTCAGCACAGCTCCATGAACGCGCTGAACCCGTACTCCAGCATGAGTCCCACCATGAGCTCCATGACATACGCGCAGCCCAACCTGAACCGGGCCAGAGACAACAAGACTTTCAGGAGAAGTTACCCGCACGCCAAGCCGCCCTACTCCTACATCTCCCTCATCACAATGGCTATCCAGCAGGCACCCAGCAAAATGCTTACCTTAAGTGAGATTTACCAGTGGATAATGGACCTGTTCCCCTACTACCGTCAGAACCAGCAGAGGTGGCAGAACTCCATCAGGCACTCGTTGTCTTTCAACGACTGCTTCGTCAAAGTGTCCCGGTCGCCCGACAAGCCGGGAAAAGGCTCCTACTGGGCTCTGCACCCTGATTCTGGGAATATGTTTGAGAATGGCTGTTACCTGCGAAGACAGAAGCGCTTTAAATGCGAAACAAAGTTGACAGACGGAAAGAGGTCAGACGGAAAGCGAGAGCAGTCGAGCGGCTCGGGCTCGCCGGCCAGCGACAGCCCCAGCACCAAACCTTCCCACATGGACTCGAGCTCCATAACCTCCTCGAACCAGTCGTCCAGTCCTCCCAGTTTGGACCACAGGAGCGGTAGCACCGCCAGCTCTGAACTGAAGAGCACCGGCCCACAGGTGCACCCCGTGTCCACGTCCCTGTCCTCGCTGCACTCAATGGCCCACGAACCCCAGCTGCACCTCAAAGGAGACCCCCATTACTCCTTCAACCACCCGTTTTCCATCAATAATTTAATGTCCTCTCCAGAGCAACAGCATAAACTGGAATTGAATTGATTTTTTTAAAAACTAGATATTATTTAATAAGAATAGGCTATCTGATTTTCTTCATTTCGATAAAAAATTTTTTTAAATCTATTCTATTTATTCTTTTGCATTTGCATTATTTTGTCTCCAAGCTATTAAAACGATGCATGTTTAATAATGACTTGAAATAAAATAGAAATAGATGAAGCCTTCAAAATATGCTCTCTGCTTTCAAAGCCAGCTTTTGGCTGAGCCCGTCTGGTTTTGACTTGCTGTTGGTAAAAGACCAAGAGAAAATCCAAGTCTAACACACGCGCAGCCTCAAAGACTCGCTTCATAAAAGATCCGATCTCGTTTTAAATGGGATTTTAAACAATATCATAGAGAGGCCAAATCATCTTTTTGTGCAGCGTAACCTACATGATGGGCACGTGAACCTGAACAGATTTGACTTTGATCATGGTATTTTGTATACACGCATTTTGGCTGAGTAGCCGTGAAATTCATTTAATTATCTTGTAATTCCCCCCCGATGCGTAAATAAAATGGATAATTGACTTCAGGCCTGATAAATCTCGATATGTGCAGCCTATAAAATAAGGTTATATAGCTGATATTTGTGCTTTTTTATTTTTAATTCGATTTAAAAAAATAAAGAAAACATTTTCCCCCCAAAAGTAGAGTCTGGTGCAGACGATTTATCTGAATTTGAATTAGAGCTCGCGACAGAAATATTTGGCCTGGTGAAGATGGTGAAGTTAATAATAATAATTGCAATATTCGCTACTGAAATTTGTAAAAAAAAAAAAATATATATAATAACAAAATATTAGAAAATAAAATTGGACTTTTTATTTTGGAACGATCCAATATTGTAAAGTTTAAAATCACACGTTTAAATACTTGTTTAAATAATCTAAGTTACATTCTCTCGTGCGCACGACATAGTATGCATTATAAAACCGATCGTTTTATATTTTATATATATAACTAAAAATGTCTGAATGTCTAACAGAAATACCTGCTCACACATTAAAAAAAAAATAGATCATGTCGGGTTTATGGGATTGATTAAATAAAATGCAAATTCAAATAAATTACAAATAAAGTAGCTACTAATTAAAAGTATTATACCATTAATTATAATAATTTTATTCAGCTTATTATGCTCGATAATGTACATAATTTAAAATAACTAGCTTACACGATCGAGTTCATAAATCACATTGCTGTATCGCTGTTTTTAGGTGTGATTTGATTATGTATATTTGGTTCTCAGATAATCAAATGCTTTATCAGAAACATTGCTTTATTTAAATCATTTATAAATCTTTGTGACAGAAACAGTGAGTCGAAATGATCGACTTTCGTCAACGAGAAGCTGATGGTAATGAAAGCAAAGCATTTTTAATGTGCGCTCCTGAAAATCCAAAAACAAACCAACAGTTTTCAAAGGGCAGCGCAGAAATATTTAACCCATTTTAGGGAAAACATCTTAACGAGTGCGTTGACAGGGATAACAAACTGCTCATTTATTTCCCATATAATCGTATAATTTAAATATGCCATGTATAGCCTAATTTAGATATACAATAATCTGCATGGGAATTTTATTGTTTGTAACTGACGCAGTGAGTGTGCAATATTTGACGGTTTTATTTATAACGCATTTCGACATTTATATGTTGCATTGAACAGTTAGTGTACATCTTTAAACAAGCCGATCAGCAGGCAGCGTTCAAACTTATGTGGCATTTCTCGTTCCCCCATCAAAAGCTCTGGCGCTTTCTTCAGCCTTATGGAGCAAAATTTCGACAACAATACGCACGGCCCTTTAGTTCAAAGCGCCCATCAGCGGGTCTACCCGTAGACCTTTCTTCTCCCTCTTTTCATTCTGGGTTTGGAAAAGCACTACAGGGCCAAGGCGCTCCTAATACCTTCTGATGGGGATTGAATTAATTATCTCCAATAACACAATTGTGCTTGGCCAACGAAAAGAGCAAAGCAATACCCCTTCAGAATCACACACACGAAAGAAAGGGCCTTTCAAAGGGCGAGAGAGAAGAGGGAGAGCTCTCTATCCGACATCAGCTTTAGAAGCAGCTGCTTTTCCATTAAAAATGATACGGGAGAAGTTTATTAGAGCTTTGTGGCCCTCTAATATGCATCGACCGTGTCAGGTTGGTGGTCTCGCACTCCCCTCGATGGTGTTTCGTGTCTTCATTATTCTACAGCAGGGGCTTTTGGATAGAAACGGCCATTGGTTTCGTTGGAGTTTCATTGGGCTAATGCATACTTGTCATTATTATTATCTTTTAAATTTTGTATAATTTATTTATTAAACTATTCTAAGAATAATGCATTTGAAATAATGCAATATTTCAAATAACGCAATATTTCGAATGAATAATGCGAAAAGTCTTAATTTGCACTCTTAAAAAAATAAAATAAAGGTTCGTTATTGGCTTATAAGGTTCCATGAAGAAACTTTAACATCCATGCAACCTTTCTAAGGTTCTTTATAGCAAAAAGGTTCTTTAGATTATATAAAAAATAAAAAAAAATCACACTAATAATAATAAAAAAAACAATAAAAAAAAACAATGGTTATTTTAAGAACTGTTCACTGAAAGCTTCTTTGAGAAACCAAAAAAATGATTCTTCTATGACATTGCTGCAAACAACCCTTTATGGAATCTTCAATTAAATTTCATTTCACTTAAGCAAATAAGCTTAATTAGGCTATTACGAAATTTCACTCTGGTCTAAATTAATATTAATATCATATATTTTGAATTTAGACTAAAAGGTTTTATTCTATCATTTATCAGGCCAAATATTAAGGTTATCCAAATCAATCATGCACAATTTTAACATGACAACTAACACAAATTTATCAGCTTGATCAGAACCTGGGAAAAGTAAAAACGTCCCATAGAAAATGTGCACTATATTTGTCTGAATAAACAGCTACTATGAGAAGGACAGAAGCAGACAGAGAAAAAGAGAGAGCTTGAAATATTTGGTGTCGTTATAGCAACCGGATCAGTGGTGCTTTTCTCTGAGGGTCATTCAATATGTGCAGCCAAAACACGGTTTTAATTAAAGCGTATAAAAGTTTTTTTGTAAGTCGATGATCACGCACACTGAATTTGGGGGTGGTAATGGGGCATTTCACTCCACATGCCCCAATAAACACAGCCTCCAGCCTCCACACCCACTCTGAACATCCACATCTCAAACAGATCACTTACAACACGCACATCTCAAACAAATCATTTAAGAACGCACGTCTCAAAACAAAAGTTTTCGGTCCGAGAAGAAAAGTTGCACCATCAAAGGGCAAGTGTTTTCCATAGGGATGTGGTGGGACACCCAGGTTGTGCCATCTCCACGGTAACCTATAGGAGGAAAATCGACAAGCTTGTCCTGGTGTCGGGCATTTATTTGAGGGGAGGGATACTCAGCGGCACGTCTGGCCTAAACAGCCCTTTCTTTATTCACCAGTGCATCTAACATATTTCTGAGTACATAATCGATCAGGCTGAAGAGGAGCTCTGCTGAAGGACGGACAGGGAAAGGCAACATTAAGCATGCTTATATAATTGTTTGGGGTATCTAGTTGTTGGTAAAGGTCGACAGATCTCTCTGGCTCATTTTATGTTTGTAAATTATCAGCATGCAAAGCACTTCCCATTAAACACTCGCAACACATTCTGAAGTATTCAAAGAATCAGCAGGGTTTTTGTACTGTATTTTATATAGACTTTAAATATACACAGACCTGCCATTCCTGCAAGATACTGTATATCTGATTTTGCAAGTTGGGCTATTTTTTTTAAACACTGTTTGCAATAAAAAGAAATTTGAAGAACACATTAAAAAGTATTAAAGGTAAAGAATAATTGCAAATATTTCAATATTTCACCCAGCACAATATTTAGTGTATAAAGAGCATTACTTATGGGTTTGATTGAATAGTTGTGTTCAGAACACGATTATGTCGTTTTAAAATGAATTTTAATTCAAAACAAATTTAGAAAAAAAGAGAAAAAAATAAGACTGATAATTCTCCTCAAAAAGACTTTCATTTCATATTTACTCAAAGTAAAACACATATAAATAAGGGGGTTTTAAGCGATACATTTTTTTTGAGTCATGTAAAATAAACATATTTAACAATTATACAACTGCACAATTTGATTTGATTTGATGATTTTATTATAATATATTTTAAGGATTTATCCTATAATTTCTATTGTCTATATATCTAAAAACACTAATTGATAAGCACAGAAACAAATTATTAAATAACATTTAAGAGTAAATACCAAACAAGCATTTATGATCATAAATACTGACTGTATTATCTGATACACTGCATATTGTTGTTATATCTCGCTTTATTAATTGGGGAAAAATTTTAAATATCTATTGTCCAGTTTGTCCGCCACCAAATCCAATACAAAACCCCCCCAGCCTGATAAAAAAATAAATAGCTGGCTTTCTATGGAAAATAAAGTCTCAGTACCTCACAAAGTAATTGTCCAATCAAATCTCCCTTGTTTATTAACCAGACTTAAAGTAAAAATCGACCAAGAGGAGAAGAAAGAAAACCTTTGGAGTAGCAGATAGGGTGTGGAGGTAAAGGGCTGGCAGCAGTAGTTTCATTGGTGACTGCAGAGAGAATGTGGTTAAACATTTACGATGGCGTTTCTGAGCCTGGGCTGGAATGAGAACAGGGCTGAGAGAAACAACGCCACTTCCAGCCTGTGTTTGCCCAGGCCAGGCTTCGGCTGTTTGCTCAGAGTTAAACGCTGAAGCCTGGTCACCAGATGTGGCCGTCTGCTCGGGTCGCCCGGCGGCCAGTCAATCAGATGACTTTTCGGACGCTGCCAGTGCCCACTTTCTTCCGTAACACCTCCACCAGCCGCTCCAACCTGAGAAAGGAAAATCAGAGAGAGGGAAGGCAGAAATAAGTGACTGTGTAAATGAAAGAAGAGCAAGACAAACGCAGGCCAGCTCTTAGC